TTGTTATTCCCTTGAGCCACGGCCGGTGCGGCAAAGAGAGTCACGGAGGCCGCGGCTGCGAGCAGCAGCGAGGGCCGAGGAAGGAACGTGGTTGGCCTCATGGTTTCGGTATTGGAAGAGATGAAAGAAACGAGAGAGAATTGGACGAGGCTGGCGAGGGCTCGGTATATATTAAGGTGGGTTAAAAAGGCAGAGGCGGCGAAACAGGACCGAGTCTCAGCAGGCCGTGTGCGTCGAAAGGAGGAGGCAGCGCGTGGCCCAGACAAGAGTCAGGGGGGGGGGACCAAAAGCGACGGACGGGACGACAAGTATCGGATGCAAGCGAGAGACAGAAACGACGGGCAGCAAAAAAGGAAGGAAAAAACGAATGCGTCGAGGAGGAGCTGCTACAGGCGCAGCAAAAGCATAATTACTGTCTGCGAGGCGGACAGACAGAGTTTATGTCGTGATGTGGGTGTGGAATGGGCCAGGAGAGGAATTGCGTTCCTGGCGGGCGGGCGGCGAGTTTCGCAGGCTGAAGGCGCCCAAGGGGAAAAAAAAGGAGCAGGGTAGAATGACAGCGGCCGAATTGGGGATGGCGTGATCTGCGGTTTACGAACGAACACGGGGTTTGGTGGATGATGGGAGGGATACGAAGGTACCTGGCCTCGTGGTAGCAGCAGGTCCCCCATCACGCGGGCACCACGTTACCATCATCATCCTTCCTTGGTTTTGGGGCGATGGAATCATCATGCATGAAGATAAGTTGGTGCCTTGGATCGATTGATTGCCGACCGATTAAGCTGCAGGCACACAGCCCTTCGGCCGACCCTTTCCCATTTCCTGGATTTTTATTCAATCTTGGAGCGAGGCGTTGTCCAGTTGAGAAGTCAGGACCTGAGTAATCCAGTTGTTGATCGGGCAAAGGTACTTCGCCGTCAAGTACAGCGCTGAGAAATTGACCTTCGTTTACCACCAGGCGCTAGCAGAGCCCCCAAGGCCCTTGTGTTTTGCGTGCTCCTCTAATGCGGGCTATTTTTAAGGGAGCAAGGGAATGCATGCGATGGAACATTTCATCGACGGCAAACATGGACATCTGTGACCGGTATTTCTGCAACGGCCGGTTCTTCGAAGATTCTCAAGGCTGAAAATGGTTCGTCGCACCACATGCGCTGGTGGCACTGGAGCGTCTTCCAAGTGGCCGCCTCAACGGACCAGGTCCAGGCGGGTTGGAAATGCTCAGCCGCAGGATCCATCTTCATAATTCATGCCTTAACTCGACAGGTCGACCCGACCTCGATCCATGCGGCGACGTGTTCTGCAATCGAATCGTCTGGCAAGTGTCATCCGAGAAGAGAACCCAAGCCCATCATGGTCCAAAAATCGCCATGTCAATTAAATTGTGTAACTGTACGAATGTTTTGCATGTCGAGAATTGTTCACTTACTTGCCCACCACAGGAGCATCAAGCCTAGATCACGTGATGCAGCACCAGCACGTGAGCCATCTACGTATGGCCTCCACCTCCAAGCTCGGTGCGCCTAAAGCTGGCGTGCTTGCTACTTGACCAGCCTCATCAAACCAACGCGACAACCATCGACCGCCGTATCCTCCCATTCTCCGCGCTTCGAACGCACCAAGCGACTCACACATCAATCTCTTGACCCGAGCAACCGCCCGACATGGAGGAAGAGCGTCTCTGGAAGTTTGGGTTCACCAAGCCCGAGTGGCTGAAGAGCATCTGGGTTCGCAACGCCGGCGTCTACGGAGCGGGAGCATTGGTATGTCTCTCTGTCACATCGCCTTTGCGCGTCGCATCATCGGGTTGCATTTCCATGCGCTGATGGCTGCCTGCGGGCCGACTTCCAATATGTTGTGCTGGGCCGGGCTGACCTATCGCAGTTCTCCTTAGCATTCTATGTGATGCTCGACTCCGCTGTCTGGTCCAGATCAGCCAGAAACGGCTCCGACATCCACGTGAAATTTGTCGACTGGCTCCCGCTCATCTTCTCCAGCCTCGGCATGCTCATCATCAACTCGGTCGAGAAGCAGCGGCTGAGCGCGGATTCCTTTAGCTACAGTGGCTCCGGCGTCGCTTGGAAGGCCCGCGTCGTGCTCTTCCTAGGCTTCGCGGCCCTGGCTGGTGGTATGGCCGGAGGAGTCACTGTTTTCGTTCTCAAGTTCGTCGTGCCAGGTGTTGCGGGGCCCGCGCTGGGAATGGGCATTGAGAATGTTGTCAGCAACGCCCTCGTCGGTCTCAGGTACGTGGTGCCATGCGCTAACAGTTGTCGATTTGGCTTTGCTAATGATGGACAGCTCCGTTCTTCTCTGGGTCAGCCAGAATATGGAGGACGAATACTCATACAACCTCTCCCTCTAAACTAAGCGCCTATACGTGAGGCCGCTAGGATGCTACTACGGCTTGAACATATTATCCGTCGGGGCTTCCGCTGGTTAGCTGTTGCGGATGATGTTCGTATTATAGAAATGTATTCTTACCGATTAGGAGGCTTGCCAGATGGCTGGGATATCGCTGGCACAATGTCTCGCAAGCCACTTAATGGAGTTTGGGATTTGGCGGAGCGTTGGATTAGGTCAATGTTCGGATGCATGATCCAATTATTGATGTTTTACTTTGTACTTTGGGGCTTTCATCGCTAAATCCAATAACTACCTTGCTTGTGCTGTGAAAACCAAAGGTTGTTGCGCCTTGAAATCTTGATGTTGGCCTGGAGCTGTCTACCTCTATTTTAGGAGCCACAGTGAGCAGCCACCGCATACCTAAAAACGGCAGGTAGCCCCTCCAACGGGTCCAAGTAAACAACCTACATTGGTACCTCTAACAAATGTCAACCTCTATCAAGTCCGTTTCCAGCTTTTGTATACAACAAATCTACTCGAGTATCATTAATACCAGTCTTTCCGCATTCACCTGCTAGCAGCCAACATGGCAGATCGCGCCAGAGGAGCAAACGGCGCCGCGTCGCGCCCCAGAGCCGCGCCTCCCCCTGTTCGTCGCAACCTCTTCCAGAGCCAGTTGACGCGGCGGCCAACGCCTAGCTCGTCCAACTCTGCCGAGAGCCTTCATCAAGAGGAGGAGCCATTGCCCGAGACTTCGGACATCGTGGTGCGGGATGAGGATGGCGACATTGTGATTGGCGACCCACCGGTTCCGGCGCTGGACCCTGATGAAGCCCAGGAGACTCATCGAGAACATGAAGGTGGGTTTACTCGGAGTATGCTCTATTTCATCTATCCAACGTGGATACTGACATGAACCCCCCCTTCAGAAGAGAGGCAGCGCCTGGAGGAGACGCTGCGCCATCGTCTAGTTGGCCATCCACCCGTCGTGGACCAACCTGAAGGTCAGATACAAACAGGTGCAACGACTTCTTGGATCTGCTAACCCAAGTCTTGCAGAACTTCTTGAGCAAGTCCGGGCTGGCATGAGAGCCAAGGTGGCAGCATTGGCTGAAGACAACTGGATGTATGAGCCTGAAGAGCACCCGCGTGTATAACCCTACTTTTCGCCGCCCCTACGAACGCCTGCTGTCTATGCTACTGAAAACCTTTGTCGGCCATTTCGCGTCGCCGTCCCATTTAATCCAGTCCTACAGAAGGGGCGTTGTTCAGAGGCTGCGGGCCTCGCCTCTGGCCCTGCTGGCCGCCTCCCGCACCTCCGCCAAACAGACCGCTCATCATGTCCATCAAGGGGTTGGCCTGGCGCGGCTTTGCGATGCCAAAGTACATCTCTCCAATGGTCTCCAAGACCGTAGACCAGCCCTCCGCCTCGGAGATGTGCGCCGAGTACTTGGACAGCAGACCCTTGTACACCTCCGGCGCTCCGCGCTGGACGGCCAGGAGGAGCATGCCGAGGAAGTTGAGCAGCGGCAGGCTGGGGAAGATGCGGATGTCCGAGTTGGCGCTCGACACATCCTGGACGCCGAGGCTCGGGTTGTCGCTGCTGAGGTTGCTGGTGAAGATGCGGTAGCACGTGTTGGCGGCGCGCACGTTGCCCACGAGAAGGTAGGGGAGGACGGCGCGTGCGGTGAATTGCGGGGCCAGGTGCGCCTCGCCCTCCTTGTACCAGGCGTATTCCATCTTGCAGAGGACCTCGGGCGAGTCCTTGGTGCCAATGACGAGGTGTCGCTCGGCTTCGTACGGTTCGTGCTCCTCGGCGTAGAGCGAGCCCACGACGTGGTGGAATTCCGGTTCGCCAGCGGGGAAGTCGCCAAACTTGGCCGACCAACTACAGTAGATTAGCTTTAGATCGAGTATGGCAGCAATGCAGCGCAGCTCTTGGCGTGTTTGCTCACCCCATCATCTCCGTGATAAACGTCTTCCGCGTAGGCTCCTCGGGGGCGAAGAGACGCAGGCACGTCAGCAGCCGGCCCTTGGAGGTCGCATCAGGCTTCAGCTGCGCCTGCCTGTAGACATCAAGCATCATGATACACAGATCACCACCGCTGCCTCCCTGGCCGGCCTTGAGCAGCGACTGCGCCACATTGTACAGGATATCGATGGCGGCGGACCAGTTCTCCGTCTTGATGTAGCGGGAGGCGGCGACCCGCGTCTGCTGCTGGGCCTCGTAGAAGTCGCCCTCCTTGATCTTCTCCTGGAGACGCGCGAGGATTCGGTCGACCTTGCTGGCCATGGCTGAGTACGAGAGGCGGTTTTTCGGGTTGTCGTTGTTGGCGTGGACGGTCTCGATGTCGGTAGCTGGGGCGGACAAGCTCTCTCTTTGGATGATGGTGTTGGAGGGGTCGTCATGGCGGGGCGTTGGCTGTTGGTCCCACTTACAGATGCTGATCGAAATGGAAGCTGAGAACCATTAGGAGACCGAAGCCGATTCTATTATCTAAGGCAGACATCTAGTTGCCTTATGTATAGGAATTGTTTTGAAACTTGTTTTTGGCAGCATATGAGATCGCTAACCAGGACCAATACAGGTGCGAACCTCAACAGCAGCACAAGCAATCTATAATCAGAAATAACAATATGCCCCACATACCTTAGCTCTAGCGCGAGTAGTATAACGGTTAGTATCCATGCTTCCCATTTGGAAGCAGCATGGGGCCCGGGTTCGACTCCCGGCTCGCGCAGCTTGTTCCTTATTTTTCTTGTCATGTTTCTTTTTGCTTCTTGCAGCTATTGAAAGGATGCAGCCGTGCTTTCGGAGTTTGTTGAGATATGGACTCGACGAGGTAAGGGTCGCTGATATCTCATTTACCGCTGTAGAGACTTGCAAAGTATTACACCCGAAATATCATTACTCTGTACGCCGGCTTGACTGTCATAGTGCCCATACCGCAAAGCCATTTACATTTTCCCTCATCGTTACATGATCCAGTTGTAACGTCCATCGCCTCCCCGTCAGTGCAGCCAAGCGCTCCCAGACGACCGCCTGCCCTTCTCGTAAAGCCACTTGCTATTCAGAGCCACGCTCGTCCGCTTGCCTCCCGAGTTGGAGGAGCCGCTGTCCGAGAAGAGACTGGCAGAGGTGCTTGCCCCAAATGGACCGGGCGAGCCTATCGACGACCTTCGCCTGTCGCCCAGACCACTGCCAGTCTTATGCATCAATGGGCTGCTGGGGGGCGAGTAGGCGGCGCCGAATCCGCCCGGGCTTGGCATCGCCGGGCTTCCTCGGCCGGAGAGCGGAGAACTCGAGTAGCTGGCTCTGCTGCCGACGGAACCGGCAATCGAAGGCGTCCGCGAGTACCTCGGGGGTGTGCTGAACTTGGCGTCGGGGGTTGGGGGAGCAGACGAGGGCGGCAGGCCCAGGAGCTTGCGCTGAGTCGCTGTCAGGGGGATGTCGGCGAGGTCGTCCTCTTTGCGCAGAAGAGGCAGGCAGGCGAGGCCGATTTGGACAAACGGCACGAGTTTGGCAGCGAGCCACACCCAGCCGACGTAGGGGCGCAGGGACGCAGGGAAACTGAAGGTGCCATGTCAGTACTTGTGACTAGCTGCAGGCAGCGAGTGGAGAATCGTTACATTTGCGGGTTCACGTAGGGCCGAGCGAGAAGCTGCAGAGACCAAATCACGAGCAGAGCGACGAGGTTGTAGGCTATTCGCCGGATGTTCTTCTCGGTGAAGGTGGTCGCGTTGCGACGGCGGGTGATTTCGTCGAGACGAGGGTGCCTCCATGTGCCGGGGCTATCCGTGACGGGCGCAGCGAGCGCCGTCTTGATGGGCGTGACATTGGCGTGCGAAGACATGGCCGTCTCTGAGCACGAGTTAGTCAAACAATGGCCGTATGCGAATTTGTTGTTGCAGCTGTCACAAGAGACCAAGGGCAAGGGAGCGAAAGTAGCACTGTCGCCAAGGTAAGCGGGCATAAAAATAAGAATGACATACTCGTTTATGGGTATTCCTGTTGGTTAGTAAATTCCGTGGGTCGGGCTGAGGCGCCGCTGTGGTGGTTGCCCCGATGTGCTCTGATTGTTGACGTTGGCAGAGATGCTGGAGATGAAGGTACAAATGCGAGGATCAATGCAGCACGCGGTTCGCAGCCACGGGTGAGCCTCGGGGTATCTTGGTAGGTACGTGCTGTTGCTTAGGCTAAGTGGGGCGCAATGCAATACAAGGGACCAGCAAGCTTCTTTGACAGCGTTAAGTATGATTAGACCAAAGCAGCTTTTATTCGTAATACAAAAAATGATAATTAATTTCATGAGAAACCCCGTCTTGTAGATTCTATAAAATTATTTTTAAATGCACATGCCGTAGAAAAAGATTGCAGTTAAGGACACAGGTTGATTCCTCTGAATTAAGCTGCTGGAGTTGGATGACTCAGCCACTCAACAAGCCGGCCTCCCCTGTCCAGCCTACAGTAGTGCTCGGCTGTGACGCGCCTCTGCAAAATCCAGAGCTCCCTAAACGCTGGACGGGACGGGACAGGTTCCAGTTGTGCTGGTCAGCCTCTGCAGCACTTCGTGACTTTGGCCGTTCCCGTTTCCTTTTTAGCCTTCGCCCTGCCTTCCTCAAATGCCCGCAAGGCTGCGCCCAGCAAAATTTTGACTTGGCCATCCCCCGTCCACGAACAAAAGCCATCATTCATCATTCATCACCATGTCCATTGACCCTCGTCCATCCCCGTCGATGCGCCGCTAATTATCCCATCGCCCACTCCAACTCCCATCACCAGTGCACGCGCATCCGCCGCGCGCCAAACTCGAACCACCCAAAGCTGACCTCACCCGACAACCTCCCTCACAATGGCATCGCCAGGCTCTCCCGGAGCCACCTCCGACGCCGAGCCCCCGAGCTCCCCCGTCAATGTCGAAAAGTCATTCCTCTCCCGCGTCGCTACGGACGACGAGGATACCCGGATGGCCGATGCGACGCCAGATCCGACGGAAAAGCCATCCCGATCATCCAAGCCTCGACCCTCCCAGGGCAAAGATGCCAACAACCAGTCGCAGGTTGGGAAGATTCGTCACCTAAAGAAGGAGGACGGCGAGCCGCTCTGGCGGGAGGACATCCAGTACGACTTCCTCAAGGCTGTCTTTGATAACGAGCAAAGCGTCTTCACCAACTCGTACGATCCCGAGCTTGGCAAGCAGAACTTTGCCGATCTCTACATTGACACAATGTCCCGGAGCACAAAGACCAGCAAGGTCCTCCGTGACAAGCTTCTCAGCGACAGGGAGGCAGCCAAAGGGATGGCCATGGTCTGTCTTCTTGTCAACGTTGGTCGCATGAACACAACGCTTAATTGTGAGTGGCGTACCTCCTCATCCGAGTCCAAGTCCTCTCGCTAACTGTTCCAGTCTTCCCCGAAATGCGAGCTCAGCTTCGCACATATCACGCTATCCCCTCGCTCCAGGCCCATCAAGATCCCCATGCGTACAAGCAGCTTCAGGATGCTCCCCGGCTCAAGTCTATCCTGAAGGGTGGCGCCGAGGACCGTGACGAGCCCGGCTCTCTAGATAAAATCAAGCAGCAGGATGTTCCGCGAACCAACCCGGTCAACCTCATCTTCATCATGTGCAACACGGCTCAGAAGATTGCAGAGCTACATTTTCCCCGCAACCACGAGTTTCACGATCTCATCATGAAGACTCAGTACAGCAGTCAGTCCCGGGCCAGAGCTTTCTTGTGGCTCATGTGGTTCTATCTTGAATCCGACTTCACCGAGGAGGGCTGCGAGGAGAACCCCTTCGGGCCTGGCGTGGATTACGGCCTAGATGTCGCCAACCAGGGCGTGCCCGAGCTGGAAGAGTTGACTGACGAGCAAAAGGCGCTCGAAAACAAGGACACTGAAGAAGAGCTCGAGTTTGGCCGAGCGAAGCAAAAGACTCGCGCCAAGATCCTCGAAATGGACCAGGCATATCTGAATGAGAGAGAGACGAAACGTGGTAAGGTCCGCGTGCCGCTCAACGAGGAGGGCCCTGCCATTCTCCCGCGCATCCGGCCCTCCAAGCATGAGTCCGATGTCGACAGCACACGGTCTACACCACCTAGGGTGCTACCAAGGACCAGCGCTGTGGGCTCATCTCGACGCGGAGCTCCTCTCAAGTATCAGATCTTCGAAGGTTCTTCGCCAGCGCACCAACCACCAGATGGTGTTATCACGAGAAAGCCAAGGCCACCAACAGCTCATCAGCTGGCTGTGGAAAGAAACCGCAACCTGCGCGTTGAATACATTCTGGACCGTGGCCTGCGGAGGCGTCATCACAGGAGTCGCAAGGTCCGACATCAAGAGGGTGCCATATACCGGGCTTTCAAGCGCTGCCAGGCCATGCAGGATCCCCTTATGGACAGCGACGAGGAGGCGCCTGTACCGCGGAACATACCACTCAACCCGGAAAAGAGCTCCAAGATCTTCCGTGAGAAGGGCATGGGTGGATTGTGTCTCCTCACCGCAGAGCCAGATGATTTCGGAGAGGAGGTCAGCTCTTACGCTGCTGCTCTAAGACGATCCACTCGTCGACTGTCTCGCTGGCACGGCCACGAAAATGAACTGGGTGTCATTGCAACCACCAAGAAAATCAAGCCGGCAGGCGACAAGGATGGCGACAAGGACATGAACGGGGATGACAAGGGCGCGGCTAATGGCGACGCCAATGGAGACGTGGCCATGGACGACCTGGACGCTGATGAGGTGGATCAGACAATCCTGGCCGACGACGAGCGAGGCGACGACGGCGACGGCGAAGATATGGACAAGACGGAGATGATGGCGGGCTCGGATATTGAATAGGATGCCTGGGCAAGCGGCTTAGATTAAATACGGTATGTACTTGTAGGATGAGCGGGCACAGCACGGATTCGGGCGAGATCTCTATGGTTCATTTTTCGGTTCCTCAGCGTTAGTTTACACAACTTGTGAGTTTTAGATCAGTGTTATCCAAACTGCTTCGTATTTGGCTTTTGTGTTTTGATCGCGCCTCAGGATCCAAGGTTTCCATGTGGCATCACGAACCTGCTTCGGCCTCCAACAGGTTGGTGGCACATGAGAGGCATTACGGCTGATTGCATCATGGTGACCAGCAGTAGATAGCTCGAACCCTGCAACTCAAGGGACTTGTGCTTCAAATGAAGACATCAATCTTCATATCAACTGAATCTTCATATCAACTGAAGCAAAATTATGGTGCTTATCGACACATGTGTGTTGTTATTGCAATGCTATTGTTGCCTACTTGTATTGTTGCTATTGTTGTCATTGATGGCTGGAGACCCCAGCGAGCGGTGAGGCGCGGCAGATAATCAGGGTCTCCCTAATTTCCTTCCTCGTAAGACGACGATAGCTAACAATTAGCAAAAGTTGATTGACCTTTTCTCCCTTCTCGCTTCTCCCTTCTTTACCTTGTATTATATACTAATTCATTCGCCTCCGTCGCTCCTTTGACCTTCTCGCACCCCCTCCTACAAGATGCCTAGCACCGACGGTTCTGGCGCAATCGGGCGCCTGCTGAGCATCCTGGCCATCCTGACGGCGCTGTTGTCGGCCGTCGTGTACACGGTCGAGCAGAACCTCGAGAGCTTCTACGTCTTCCAAACTGATCACCTGCACGACCTTGCCAAACGCGGCATTGCGCAGCATGGCAACAACACGCGGGGCATCGTCGAGTACATCGTGACGGAACTTAGCGACAAG